GAAGTCAGTGAAAACTCATATACATACATATATTCCATTTATTAAATGAACATGTGTTGAGCTCACACACACAAAGAATCTTATACTAACACATACTACATACATATGTGCGCATGTTAGTCTATTTTTGTTTTTTAGCTATGCTACATAACATGACATACCGATGTTAATCAACATACAGAATTTTCGAAAAACTCGCTGCGTATGATTAACGAGCGAGATATATTTGAAATATGTATCTTATATATAATATAGGGTATTTTTATTAATGAACTACACATAAGCTCGACAATACTTTTGGTTTTTTTTCCCACAACTTAATTTTCGAGTTAAGCACAGCAATTAATTAAATGGCAGCAACAAATTGAATGTGCTTAAGAGCAGACCGCTGTCAACGATTCGCCGCTGCCCCCGCCTATAGGTCGTTAACAGCTCTATTAAAACAAATTGAGTGAAAAACCAAAAACGAAACGAAATCGAAATGGGCGAAAAAAATGCTAAAGATATCGGCAATAAATTGTATTAAAAGCTGCCCCAACGGCTTAATGACTTAATTTAACACAAAGCCAGGCCCTGGCCTACGCCTGCGCTTGGGATACAGGTTTTTTTTTTTAACCCAGGCATTGCTTTTGCGACTCTCTTATGTATTTTCTTCACTTACCTTATCAATTTGATCGAGCGCCACTTGAGCGTCTACCCAGCTGGTGCGTATGTAAAGATCCGAGAATAATTTCTCATCGACAACATCGCCGTGTGTGTCCGGTACGCGCGGCAGGCTCTCCCTATCCATATTGGTGTGTGTTTGTGTGTGTCTGTGTGACTGTCTCGTAGATTAGCTGGTGTGTGGGAGGACAAATGACGCGCGTTCTCACAGCTGTTAACTGGGTGTTTGGCAGTCTGTGAGACTGTTCTGTTAGCTAACAGCGGCAGAAAAGTGCTACCAATCAGCTTGAAGTTCACGTTCACGCTCTTGCTGTTTGTATGGGAGTGTGTATGTGTGTGTGCGTGTATTGTTTATTTTTGTTATTGATGTTTTAAAAAAAAGCCACAACTACTTATTTTGTATTTTGCATTATGCCTGCGCTGCATTTTTCGCTGCTCAGCATAAACAACACTTCAACACACGCTCTCCGGCTATCCTTTACGCTCTCCGACTGTCGTTTACGCTCTCTCAATCGCTCTCTCTGTTTCGTTTTGTTGTGATTGCTGGTTTCGCTTTGGCTTCAGCTTCAGCTTGAACGCGATCTGGCGATCTGGTCTCGTGCTTAAGATCGCTTCACTTTGCCACTGCATTTGTGCACATTTTTCACAACAATTTCAACAATTTTCACACATAATTCACACACTTTTCGTAACGGTGCGACGCGCAGCGCGACGCGAACGCCTCAGAAGTTTTCAACACAGCGCTGCATCACGTTTTTTCTTTTTCTTTTCTTTTCTTTGCTTAGCGCTCTCTGCGCGTTTTTTTACACACACTTTGCGCACGTCGAAGTTTCGTTTGCTTTATTTCGGGTATTTGTATTGAAAATTCTTAAATTTTCTTTGAATACTATGTATGTTGTATATAATTTGACACTGTTTCAATTTTTTTTTTTTTTACAAAAACACTATCAGGCCAATTCGTCTTATACAAAATTCAGCGCGTTTCGTTCGAGCCACTCGCGCAGTAAACACAACCGTTTAGTTCGAAGATCGCAAGCAGTCTGAGAGATACAGATACATTTTGTATTATTGCCTTACATTGTTTTTGCTTCACATTGATGTTAACTCAAAATGGCACTGTTAAACTCAAGATGTGTATGTTGGATGTATTCGAGAGCGCAGGCAGAGACGCAACTCCACCAAGCCAACAACTTCATTAGCGTGCGCCGTATCTGTGTGCACAGCGAGCGCTTAGGGTCTCTAAATCTCTCTCATTCCCATTCTCATTCTCACGTTAACGCTCGCACTCAGTCTCTGCTGCGGCCATTTTGGTTTGAGCGCGGCCGCTACTCACAGCGAGGGCTGCAGTGTACTCACGGTTAACAGTTTTGTAGCTTTGAGAACAGTTCAGGAGACTGCGATCTGGCATATGCAACAGAGATTTATCGTATACCCTACATGAATAAAATGCTTGGAAAAGGTAACACAGTATATGTATGTATGTAAATACATATATGAAATTATTGATCTAGCATGTTTTCATATCATTAATAATGGTATTAAAATTGTGGATAATTATAGTGTTTACAAAATTTATATTTTTCGTTTAGAGTGGGATATCAAATATTGAATATGTAAATCTAATTTACATATGTATGTGTATAAAAATACTCTTAAAATGAATTTAAATATGTATATAGGGTATCTCATTTCATATTTTAATATATTTATTCTAAATGATCTAGTTCTTATATCCTGCCGAGCTACGTAATAATACTTGTGCATACACAGGATATCCGTTAACAACGTTAGGTGATTAACAATTATACACACAAACTTTTCGACCGTAGCAGCAAATTGTTTAAACAAGCTTGCGATTGCGCTGGCTAATTTTGTTGTTGTTATTGTCGTTGCTGTAGCTTAGACCACACACGAGTCGCGCCCGCAGGCGTATTCCTGTTGTTGTTGTTGCTGTTATTTTTATTGCAGCGACCACCCAAATAAAATTTGTTGTTGCTTCATTAAAAGCGGCTGCCGGCATTGTGGGTGGTCCCAGGTCCCGATGTTCCCGCAGTCAGTCCGCGCTCTCTCTCTCTCTCATCGTATCTCTCTCTGCTGCTGCTGCTGCCCGCTCGCTTCTACTGGAAGGCGGCCTTCAGCTGTGCGAGCAGCGGCGCGACGCGTCGTCGCTAGTGAAGCTTTTATTATTGTATAAGTGTTTATGCCCATGGAGCGCGTGCGTGGCAGGCTTGTGTGCGTGTGTGTATGTGAGTATGCGCAGGCTGTGAATTGTTGGCAAATTTGTTAGCTCCATGTGGTTATTCTTGTTGCTGCTTTCTGTGCCTGCCACATGCGTCTGATATCTGTTTTTGCATGTTCTTAAGACTAAATTATGAAGAGGATATTTTAACTCAATGCACTTTATCGTGCGTTCTTATAAATACATACATATGTTTGTATATGTGTGTATGTGTGAGAGAGGACCACACAAGTTGTCGTTGTTTTTTGCGAAGCAAATTATATACGGTCCGTTGAAAAGTTGATTGTTTTCCTTGCGACGGCTCCAACTTGGCGAGCAGACGTTGGCCGCGACCTCTGCGCTTCTAAGAGAGCAATAAAAGG